TTTACTTTATTTATTTTCTATGTAAACATGAGTTAAGTTTCAGAAAAACTATTAGAGGCATGCAAACAACTTGTATTAAATTTTGGGCGGTCGCTTTATAGGGGTACGGACAACAGAACTGACTCTCATCGGGACAGGCAAAAGGTGCCCGGTTATAGGCAACAATTTCGGGACTTAATAGTAGTTCGCGTTAGATGATTGTAGCTTTACTGTGACATATACCCAACCTGAAAACGACTATAACAAGCTTATTACTTCTAGCCGGGCTATCATTGTCCTACTTATTTCCCTTTTTTTTTTCCTTCAATTGTTTTTTTGTATCGCCATTGTAGGTGAGTGACGAAATAATGATGGCAAGCAATCGACTTGTAGGCCGGCTGTGGATGCTGAGAAACTCTCGTCCCAGGCCTGAGGAAGGAAAATTAATGAAAGATGAAAGAGGACTGGACAACATAGCAGTTCCTGAAAGCTCATGGGAATAACGTGGCGACTGAAAGTTTAAAAAATGAAAACATATTTAGATATTAAATGAAGACTATTTCAGTTACCTAGCAGATTTTAAATGATTTCTTGGTATCGCTCTTTCTTAGCGTTTGTAATTAATTCATATATCTGTTTGGTCAATGTAGTCGTGACTACAAGGTGTTATTTCGCCGCCATGTTGATTTACAGAAGTACAAACGTTTTAGATATGAAGTGAATACCATGTAGGTTGCGAAGTAAATAAAAATCATTCTGCGCTGCATTCACTTGGCCTTGGCGTGGTTTATTTATATGACTATGATTTGTTTAACCCCCCGCCTGAGCGGGGTAGGGCAAAACGAGATATTATCAAGATATTAAAAGAATCGCGTGTTGAATGCTCTTTATTATGGCATTAAAAGATTCCGGTGGATTTGAGGCCCTATTAGGAGTTATCGGAATACGGAAAACTGACGGGATACAGAAATATTTAGGGGAAAAAATTCATGGGACTGACGGGATATTTCGACCAGATAAAATGGGATGTCGAGATGAAAAATCGTTAATTTTTGCTACTGGAACTGACGGGATACTACGGGATATTTAGGCCAAAAATTAAATACTCAGAGCAATCGGTTCCAGTGATGTCACTTTCAGTGACAATTAGTGCCCTCGTCTCCGGATCGAGCGGTCCGGGTTCGAGCCCTGGTAGGGAACATTGCGTTTTGTTCTTAGGCAAGACACTTAGCACTCGCAGTGCCTCTCTCCAACCAGGTGTATAACTGGGTACCGGCGCACTTAATGCTGGAGGTAACCCTGCGATGGACTAGCATCCCATCCGGAGGGGGAGTAGAAATACACCTAGTCGCTTCGTACGGAAACCGAGATTAGCTCCGGCCTGTTGGGCCACTCGGCTCGTATCCAGACTTGACATTTACCTTACCTTTATGTGCTTATGTCGGCGTTATGTTCAGTGAAGACATGGTTGACATAAGAATAATGTGCGCGCTGATTGGCTGAAGGTCTTTCGCTTATCCCTAAACCTATCAGTTTCCAGCTTCCAATGGATTGATTGATTGATAGAAATAAATTGAAAACTGTCATCAAATAATTTGCTCCGTGTTATGGTGACAATAAGTCCAGTTTCGAAAATATGAACTACCCATCTTCCACAAAGGAATTTAATTATAAATGTTCGCTGGATTTGACAATAGAAAGACGTCATTTCCAGTTAAGTGTTCTTCCAGTGCTAAAAGAATAAATATTCCCACATTAAATGATAAGGTATCACTAAAAGGTACCTAAAGTAACCACTTTCATTACTAGAATGTTTGGTTCTTAAAAGTAAAGCAAACTGGCATGAAGTTGTCCCCTTGATACAAATACTTTCTTCTGCAGTGGTAACAAAAGGTGTCTCTTCAAAGTGCTATTTGGGGATAACAATAAATTGTCCACCATAGAATTTAATTATTTTAATTTCCCGTTTATGAAGGACAAAAGTTCTCACAATTGAGCTGTACCCTAGCGCCGATTGGCGCTTAGGTGATCTTCACGTGCTCTCCGGCTGATCTTTTTAAACAAAGGGGAAGGCAGGGGAGGAACATTGCGTGACGAGCCCAAAGAGCGTCTGCGTATAAAGCAAGCTCGCAACTGAAAAAGAAGCAAATTTCATAACTGAGGCCGAAGAAACAATGACCTCCCGTACTGCTTCGGCTTTCTTTCTTCTCTTCATGCTTGGTGCTGCTTACTTCGCGCCGTTGGCCAAAGGGCAATGGGACATTTGTAAATATAGGCGTTGTGGGAAAAGAGAGTTTGGAAAGCTAACTTATTTCTAAATCCTCTTTCTCTCCTTACCTGTCCTAGACGTGATCAGTAAATTCACAGCAAAGAAGACTATACAAATAAATCAAAAGAAATCAAAATTACTTAGCAGAGTTTAATCATCTTCATATAGTTACGTACCGTTTCCACTCTTTTGGATTTTCTTTTTAACTATACGCGCGTTTAATATATGTTTGTTGTTTGTGAAGCATCTACTATTGCAGACCATGCCATCCCGTCAGCAGGTCATACTGGCTTTTAACTCAAAGTGGCTATGAGCGACTCAACTTGGGAAGTGGGTCGTCTGTAAACAGTGGCAATTTTGATGCCACGGAACAGAGGCTTTAATCATATATCATTTATGTTTCGAGCTAGAGAGGCTGAAAATTAAGTTAAAGCCCACTGGCATTGTTGAGAAATATTGTTACATAGGGATATGTGACACCGTAGAAAACATCTATGAAGTCATCGATTATCCTTGTAAGAGAAAATACTATCAAAATAGAGTACCTCTTCTTTTCCGATCATCAAAACTAATATTGGACGCGTGACCAAGTAATAAAATCTCTGTATTGCGGGTTCTCATTTTCTTTCCTATTCGTATACTTTTTCATTTTCCCTGACAATATCAGTGATTTCCTCCCCTTACATTTACTTTCTNTTCCCGTACTGCTTTAGCTTTCTTTCTTCTCTTCATGCTTGGTGCTGCTTACTTCGCGCCGTTGGCCAAATGGCAATGGGACATTTGTAAATATAGGCGTTGTGGGAAAAGAGAGCTTGTAAAGCTAACTTATTCCTAAATCTTCTTTCTCTCCTTACCTGTCGTAGACGTGATCAGTAAATTCACAGCAAAGAAGACTCCAAACAAATAAATCAAAAGAAATCAAAATTACTTAGCAGAGTTTAATCATCTTCATATAGTTACGTACCGTTTCCACTGTTTTGGATTTTCTTTTTAAATATACGCGCGTTTAATATATGTTTGTTGTTTGTGAAGCATCTACTATTGCAGACCACGCCATCCCGTCAGCAGGTCATACTGGCTTTTAACTCGAAGTGGCTGTGAGGGACTCAACTTGGGAAGTGGGTCGTCTGTAAACAGTGGCAATTTTGATACCACGGAACCGAGGCTTAATCATATATCATTTATATTTCAAGCTAGAGAGGCTGAAAATTAAGTTAAAGCCCACTGGCATTGTTGAGAAATATTGTTAATCGCAACGGTTAGGAATTACATAGGGATATGTGACACCGTAGAAAACATCCATGAAGTCAACGGTTATCCTTGTAAGAGAAAATACTACCAAAATAGAGTACCTCTTCTTGTCCGATCATCAAAGCTAACACTGGACGCGTGACCAAGTAATAAAATCTCTGTATTGCGGGTTCTCATTTTCTTTCCTATTCGTATACTTTTTCATTTTCCCTGACAATATCAGTGATTTCCTCCCATTACATTTACTTTCTGACGGCTTCTTCGTCCTCGGCTTAGCCAATATATTGCCCCATGCGACAACTGAGCGCTCCATCGATATGAGGTTGTGTAATCATTTATCTTTCATGAGCAATAAAATTGATCTTCAGTAAGGTATTTACGATCGTAATTTCAGTGGGCTTCAAAATTTGTTTTTTCTTTATTTTTTATCTTTTGAGCGTCGTAGAAATATAATACTGTGTTCAGCGTGGAATCATTACACCACAAAGACAGCACCGCGACTCGTCTTATAAATATAGTTAAGCCTTGTTCAGCTGGGTTTGCCCTTGGTTGGGTTACCGAATACGAATACCCTGTATTGTAATGATTTCTTTTCTGTTTTTCTTTTGTTTATGTCTTCTCCATCCAAGGTGATATTAGTTACTGCAGAACTCGGAACTCCGCCTAATGTCTTTTCTTCGTAATTTCGCCTTTTAATTCTCATATATCAAAACCTGCAAAACCAACATTTGATGAAAGATTACAGAACTTAGTATGGGTCCGGCATATTGGTGTACGACTTGGGTAAAAGTTCTTTTGAAGTTATAAAAGAAGAAGGCCACTCCAGAAAGCTTACTTTTTTGTCTTCGCCTATAGCAAGAAAACATTCAACTTTTCCACTGACCTGTTTAGAAAATTCGTCTCGAAAGAAGCGACTTCGGTGGCCGCCATTTTGAAACTGTCTTGGCAGCTAGGCCGTGTTTATGAGAAGTCACTCCGTCCGACTCGAAGTTGGGGGGAAGGGGAAAAACCTGCAACTGACTTGGCATCCTTCACAAGGGGGGACTCACAAGGTCAGCAAAATCTATTTTTTCCAAGCGACTATCCACTTCTCTATCTTCAATGCTGTCATTTCGGAGTTTGCAGTAAGTTTGGCTCAAATACTATGGCTCAAGAACAGCCATAACTCAGAAGTTAAAATGATTGTCAGAAGCCAATTGAACAAAATCTCTCGGGCGGAATGACGTCACGAAAACGCGGCCTGGCTGCTGAGTACTGCTCAAAATGGGGGCAACGATGTTCGAATTGGGGGTTTCTTTGGAGAAGAATTTCATAAGGAAAATCTGCACTTTAGAGGCTGAAACTTCGGTGAGTGGCTAAACGTACTGCAAATTTTAAAAGCGTTGACAAAAAATAGACGTTTTTAGGAGTGAACTTCTCCTTTAAAGCTTTTGCTTCAGAACAAAGAAGACAAGTCGGAGGTGGAAAATGAGAAAATTGTACACTTCTCCATACAATACAGTGAGGATAAACTGATTCAAACTTTTACTGGAATTTTATATATGGAAATCCTTGAATCTGATAGTAGCTCCATGTGTTGGAAGTTGCCTTTTAAACATTTACATTTCATGCTCGAGGTTTCTATAGGCTCATGGTTGGCGGGGTGGGGGGTAGGGTGAAGTCCCGAGCTAGTAAAAACTGAGAGTGATTACAATAACCTGCTGGCCCATCTTTCAAACAACAAAAAATATTTCTTTTCTTATTTTTGTAAACCGTAAACGAATCTCGTTTTGCACATTTTAACGTACATTTCCAGAATGTTGGAGGTCAGTTCGATGCTAAAAGCTATTAACAAGCTAAGAATATCCACTACCAAATAATTTACTTCAACACTCTAACTCTAGCGTAAACCTTTTTGTTTTAGAAAAAGTGCTGGGAGCTTCAATACTTGTTTAAACCTAAATCTACACCATTTTCATTCTTCTAAAAGATAATCCTGATCGAAGTTCATTGAGCAACACAACTCCTGATCAGTTTTTCCAAGTTCATTGCACTTCTTGAAACAATCTGATTGGTTCCAGTGATGTCACTTTCATTGACACCAAAAGCGGATTGGCTCGCACTCTGTCACGTGCCCTCCTTTTTCTCCTCCTCTCTCACAACCCTCCTCTTTTGCCATTTTTGCTATGCCCGCAGCGTCTTGTTAGGAAGGTTCGATTCCCCGTTCTGTCCGTTCTACAGGACGCAAGATGCTCTTTCTATTTGCCTACTCCGTTGTACAGTAGCTGAAAGCCCTTCTGGTTTTCCAATGGAAACAGGGGGCGCTTTTTCTTGGTCTTGTCTGAAATCTCGATCACAAGTTCTGGAAGGAAAAGAGTTACCAATTAAAAAAAGTTCATTCCGATATAAGCTCATTCAAAAGCTTCCTTGTAATAAGTATTCCCTTGCCTTCGTCCGGCTTAACAGAACTTCACTTTTTATTGACTGATAGATCCAAACCTGATTCTGCAATCTACACAATGAAGGTACAGAATATTGTGTAGTGGCAATCTTACAGCTTTTACAGAGTTTTAAAACTTTTTACATTGTGCATGTCGAAGGCATATCGAAGATGAGATGTCTTTAAATTTGTAAGTAAAGCGAAAGATATATATATATATATTTTTCGCAGTAAATGTCTGACTGTCTGATTTAAAGTGACATACAACTCATTCAAAATCTCACCGAAAGTGACCGAATTACAAGCACTAAAACAAGCATTTCAATAATTTATGACAACTGCCTCGTGTAGTATTGATGGAACAGTTTGTGAAGTCTGTGAACAATAATTTTCTTTAGTCGTTTCAAGTTACTATTCCGAGGCGTTTCCGAAATTTTACGATGATGACCGAAGGCAGGCGACGACTATGAACGAGTTCTTAACTTACTTAGTGTCTCGTCGACCACTCCGGGCAGAAGATCCATTAGAACCTGACAGTTGGTATGGAGTGCGGGGTTGATGTTCACCTCCAGTAGCCAAACCTGGCAGGAGAAAAGAAACAATCTTAAAACTCGTGACAATTTGTCTCTGGCTCTTGAATTGACGTCCAATCTGTTTTGTCCAATCAAGGAAAAGAAAGATCACGCGCATGCACACCGCCAACCTCGATCCCAGGCTCTCTCTCCTTTGCCTCAAAGGAGAGAGAGCCTGGGATCGAGGTTGACGCACCAAAACACGTCACGTCGGCTTGACGTCACAGGAATAGTCACAGGAATACGTCACATTTCCTAGCAACGACTAATGAAAACCGACGTCTCCGATTCTTGCCAGAATTATGATCTCCAAGATTTAATATAAATGCAGAGTGAGTGAGAGACAGATGCCATGTAGAGTGGTAAACTAACCTTGAAGTCTTCGTCGATAAGAAAGTCGAATCCCAACAAATCAAAGGTTCCTGTTCTTCTGTGAAGCTTCTGACGAACGCTGTGAAAACATGTCGTCATTATCTGGTGCATACGTTTCTGAAATACGAATAACAGATGTAAATAAGGACGTTGACAAATGAGATACCACATGGTAAAGATGATGTACAGGCGATCATAGAACTTACTACCTTTTCCTTCTGACAAAAGGATAGCGTGGGCGGCATTGAAGATAAGTTTGAATGACTTTACAAAGTTGTAAATTAATGACGTACAGGTTCCCTTTTCTTAGTAGAGCAAGTAAACACATTTATGTCTGGTCAAAAGATGGAGAATTCCCCTCTACTAATCACGAAAGTCGGGAAAGAGAGCAATACAGAAATGAGGGGTAGAACTACAAAATAGACTGTATACGCGAGCAAAAAATAGAAAATGCTCAAAATTAAGCGTCTAGGAACAAATCCTCACTCTTTGGAGCAAAAACAGTTCCGTTAACCCGCCTCCCCAACAACAACAACAACAATTACAACAAAACAAGAACAACAACCAGAGTAGATATGCAAAAACTCACCGTAAATGTTGTATAAACCCAATTATCAGGGAGTTCTTTCTCCTTGGCATACTTCTCATCGATGTACGACTGCAATCGCTCGAAACTCCAAACAGTATCTTCTTTCATCGATGAATACATAGGGTGCTTCTTCTGAACATACTGTAAACACACAAAAAACGTGATCAAAAAATCAACTTCGTCACAAATCTTTATAGCAAAGCTCAGTGGTAGACCTCGCACCCAGCTGTCGGTGGGGTTTGTTTAACAACTTTGTCAAGCAAACAAAACGCGGTTGAAAGCAAGTCTAACCTGATTGGTGAGATGCGCATGCAGGCCAGCGGCATCCTGAGTGTACGGTGTATACGGGACACACGACAGTCGCACATATCCCGGATGATAGAATACAATGTACGGCGTGGTGCTTGCGATCAACATGTACGTGCGAACATCAAACTTGCAGCCGTTCAACAGAAGAGGGTTCAGCACATATCTGAGATAAATGAAAACGATTGTTTTAGTTTACTTGGTTTTTCGTC